TGATTTTTACGTTCTTGACAGCTTCTAAGATATTCTTCTCTTATTGTTTAGGTCCTCTTATCGTATCTTGGATAAATTCCTTTAGGATGGTAAGGCGGACTGATATCACCTCCATGCCTTGTTCATTCAGCAGGATCTATCCTTGGCTAACTTTCTTGACATTGTTTATATGTTCCTTGGTAGGCTCTGTTTTGCTCCAACAACGGCCAAATCTATGGGCGTGTTTGTGGTGAGTCCTGATCCAATTACTGTTTTTCTCAAAATAAACATGTGATCATTCGCAGTTGCTGGGAGTTTAATCCCAACATTTAAGACATATCTAAGTTGATGTGGAATAGAGAGATCAAATATGAGCTTATCTTTGGAGTTGATATAGTTAAACAAATGATTTTGAAATTGATTTTAATCATCTGCCTGCAATTAATCTTGGAACATGTGCACTTTATTTCTTTTCCTTGGGAAACCATTGCATTTATGTGATTTACAGATTTGTGTGCATCTTTATGACTGTTTTAAAGCCTTGATGCAATTGGTGAATGAACATAAGTAATTGTCATGTTATTACTACTGTTGCAATATATTCTTTAACCAATATCTCTAGAAATGGTATCATGCAGGTGGACCGGTAGTTTCAACCCTTGCCGATGCTTTCAGTCCGCTATACTTTGAGGTCACAGAAGCTATGGAAGTTATGGCCACGGAAGAACCCTGCGACATAGCATGCAAATTTGGTGATGGCCTTGTTGCTGTTGAAGATTACCCACAAGGCTTCCCTCGACCAGGTAAGATTCATAGCTTAGATTAGCCGTCTCCACTTTACTCCCTGAGACACACTCTTAGTCTTCACTTGCATTAAGCTAGTCTGAAACTAAATCCAATGATTCACACACCTTAATTTATCTAAACAAATAGTTCCCACAGTCGGCATAGCTATGACCATATTGACAACTCTGAGCATTTGCTTAGGAATCCTTATATAAACCGAGCATTTCTATCGAAAGATCCTGCTTACATCTCAGGTTTAAGAATATCATAGACAAGGCGTCTCTAAACTCACAGCTTCACATGTTTTTTCCCAACTTAATGTGCAGCAAAGCATCCGTATCCATTCAACGACAGCGTCGTGATATACATACGCCATATAGGTCCTGGTGTATGCGTAGGACAGGCATGGCAAGAAGGGAAAGAGCTGCAACAAGTACCTCAAAGATTATGCTCCGACATTCTTATGGTCAAACAATACAATTGAATTGAATTAAGAAGGCTTTTTGTTAACTTAGAATCGGATGGCATCTTTAGCCGCTCGCGCACCCTTATTGTAGGTGGTGGCTAGGTTCACTCTTATCTTTCCCCTTTTAGCTCTTTCAATCTCATCCTTCACAGCACTCAATTTGGACCTTCGATCCTTTTGGTCCAAACTCGAGGCCAAAAGGATCGAAGAAAAGGTTGAAGGAAAGGGACTATATATTACTATATTTACATGGGTCCGAATTTGGAGTAACAAGGGTGGAAGTTTTGAATTAACATTCAAATATATTTTGGGAAAAAAACAAGATCATCGATTCTTGTGCATCGTTCATTGGTAAAATTGGTGGATCGAGAAAATAAAAAAGAAATGGCAACGGCAACACGAAAAAAGGAAAGAAATTGGTTGAATAAATTAAAATTTTCATCTTTTTCCGAGGGACCTGAATAGTAGTATTTTGGACAGTGCAGATGACGCATGCGTGAATCTAACGGACCGTATTCTCTGCAATAATAACGTCTTTTCATTGAAATTTAATAAGCCATAGTCAAATCTGGAAATGCTTTAAAGAAAGCCTTTTTTTTGCAGACGTTGCCACTTGCTTATT